CTGGCTGCTTTCAAAGTCCACGATTTGGCCAGCGGGCGAGCAAGCGATCGAGCGAGCGAGCGATCTAGCGAGCTAGCAATCGAGGGATTGGGGCGGAGCTCGGCCCTTTTTACAACTGAATCTTGGTCAACACCGCGGGCAAACGCCGCCCCAATCGCCTGATCGCTCAATCGGTCGCTCGCTCGCGGGCCAAATCGTGAACTATGAAAGCATCCCCACGCTGCAGTGCAGCTTCTCCCACAAAAACGGGCTGAGCCATGGGTGTACTAGTATACAATACGGTAGTATACTAATACTAGTATACTACCGTATTGTAAGCTCCCTACACCAAGTCCTTTCCGTATTGCGAGTAGTAGTCCAAACCCTTTCTGTTTCAGACAGGCTGAGGCCACGGCTACGTCCCTTCCTTTACCACATCCTATATGTTGGAAAGAACTATACCTTTGGCTTTCAATGATCCAATGTGCACTCTAGTGTACATGCAACGATAATTCGATAATTCATTTTTATTGATAGCTTTACAAGTACAAAATTTCAAAATATACAACGATAAGGTAGTCCACCGAGCTATTAAGCATATGGCCTAACTGTTAATAGGACACCAATGCCCGTTTTTTGTGAACATTCCCCACACCTGACAGTTAGCTACAATCTCGTCACTTTCGGTTCTTCATCATCTCCCACACCAGAATCCATAGATGTTCTGTTAACCAGTTCTACATGTGGTTTTACTTCAAAACTTATACCAGTTGAATCGGTACTAGAGCTTTCACTGGACGATTCACTAATTTCAGGAGGCATTACAGAACTGATCATAGTCACAGGTGAAAAATCTAAATGTTCTTTCTTGGGCGGTTTCCGAACGGGAATTCCTCGTGGTGGTGGACTAGGGGCTAGTCGTTTCTGATCGAAAAGTTTCGTTGGGGCATTTTCTCTTGTGGATCTCGGTATTGTGGCAGGTGCCATGGTTGACGTCACTTGGGGAGTAAATCGACTGTTGTTCCTCGAAATGATCTCATCGTATTCCTCGTCCTCGTCTCTGTCCGCTTTCACCTGAAAAATTAAATTCAATACCAGTTAAGTTCTTTGAACGCCTCATCACTTGGTTAGAAGGGTTGAGGGTGCAAGCACTGGGAGGAGTCTCCAGAGACCA